AAATGTTTTGACACCTAAAACCCCCTAAACACTCAAAACTAAACCCTAATAGAACATAATTAAGTCAAACATAATAATATAAAGAAAAAAATAATTTTGAAAAAGTGGCATTTTTGTAAAGATTTCAAAAGTGGCATTTTTGTAATTTTAGGGGTGTCCATTTACAAAGAATGCCACTTAGGGGTGTCTATTTATAAAAATATCACTAATTATACATTTATAAAACATATATCTTAAAATTCTAAACCCTAAAAAATATTTTGACACCTAAAACCCCATAACTAAACACTAATAGAACATAATTAACCCAAACATAAGTAATATAAAGAAAAAATAATTTTGAAAAAGTGGTATTTTTGTAAAAATTTCAAAAGTGTGGTATTTTTGTAAAATGACACTTGAAAAATGGCATTTTTTGAAATTTCTCATAATTTTATTATAATCTCATTAAATTTAGTGAACTTTATACTTGTTCATGTGCCACCACCATTACATAATCCGAATTCAACATGGTAGATGTGCCGTGTTGGCGCGTAAGTGCCAGTGCAAGTTGTAGATGAACAAAAAATAACGATAAAGATATATAGAAAAAGCAGTTAATATTCTCCATACGAAGCAAACACCACATCACGCCCACCATTCGTAATCCCATGAACGGCTTTTGATTTGGGGCGGTTGGCAAACTTAACATCGTGTGTTTTCATAACCTCATAAGCCACTTCACCAGAAGAGACTACGAGTACCGGAACACGGCCAAAATGAAGGAGCATGAGTGGCCCGTACCGGAGGCTGAGGGACCGAAGGGAACGGTGAGGGTGGAGGCTGAGCTGATTGAGGTTTCCGATTACTGGGAGTCGCCATGGAGACGGTGGTAAGTGTTGATCCAGGGGGGGTTGACAATGAATTTGTAATAGGTCGGAGGCCGGAGAATCTCGTATATAGAAAGTCGAGTCGAAAGAATGTAGGTATAGTTAGATCGCTAAAGATAGTCCGGACAGATCCCGGGCTATCAGTTTGTAAGCTGAGAGATTGTGGTAGATCGGACAGACCCCGAACTACRGGATTTTGAGTGTAAAGAGTAGGATTTAAAGAGTTTGCGAGTGGCGGTACTTGTGCTTCTTGTCTCGGAATCGAATCCCCTTTTTCATCACCCGTTTACCCCTATTTATAGTAAGAGACGGCGGATTTAACCATAGTTCAGCTGACCGTGGTTGGCCTGATATYCCCCTGTTCTGATCAAYCTCAGTTCGGATATGCCTTAAGTATGATTAGATTGTGGTTAAAGGTTGGAGTGGGCCTCTGGCAGCCCGTCGGGCTTCTTCCGAACTTGCTGGGCTTTGGCTTCTTCTGGCGATCTAAAACTCGCGAACTGCTCAGAATGGTGGGCCGCAGGTCCAGGCCCAACAGTAGCCCCCCTGGTCAATAAAACGAGGCGGTCTGAACTTTGTTGATGTTAGGTCGTTCGATCTGATTCTGAGAAGTCGCGAGATCGCCACGCGTCGAAATTTTACTGGCTCTTGCCGCGGTTTCACCTTCCTCGAGGCGTGACCTTTCGTATTTCGATCTGGGCCTATAAAAACGGGACTTCACTTCTGTTTTTCTCTTTATCTTGCTTCGACTGCTTCTGTCTCTAAGGTACTGTTTCTTTTTCTTTCTCTCTCTAGCCTTCTCCTGTTTGCGTTTTCTTTGATTTCTCCGATCTGTTCTTCGTCGTGGTTTTCGTCGTAACCGTCGATAAGACACCGTATCGATCTAGAATTCCTTCGAATCTTTTCCTGCTGCAATCATGGTCTCTTCAGCAACTGATTCTCAGAATGAGTATCTCTCCGATTCCGGAAGAACCGATCCGTCCTCCGCCGAGAGTCCTGTCGTTTCGACTCGCGAAGGGACTTCATCGGATGCCGATGAGAGGGTGGCCAGCGGCAACTCTCTGGCCGCAGACGACGCTGGATCCAGCTCTATTGGCATTCCGAGGATCGGAATATCGCAGCCCGCAGTTGCTAAGCCTCGTCGGGCTAAGCGTCGGTCTGTGATTAAAGGTCGGCTCACAGCTCGGCGAGTGTACTCGAATCCAGACTCCTTCGGTCTCACGCCTGTCGACAAACTGGCGTTGGAGCCTTTGGGGCCGGGCTTAGGTCCCGGCATCGAGCTGAAGAGAAAGGATGATTTCGATTCGGAGGTCGATCTGTCTATGCTTACGAACGTCTGGTCTATCCGTGATCTTCCAAGGGGGGTTGAATTTCGTGTTCCCCAGAGCGGCGAATGTCCTTGGTCGCCTCCGGAAGGGTATATGTGTCTCTACGTATCCTTCTTCGAGGAGAGTGGGCTGTTTTTTCCGATTCCGCGGCTGCTAATCGAGTACTGCGCTCGCCGCGGCCTGGCCGTTTCACAGCTGACCCACGGGTCTATCAGGAACTTTATGGCGTACCTGGTTTTGGCTGCAGAGCAAGGGTTGGTTTGCGACTGCGACACCTTCGAGGGGCTGACTGCGCTGAAGCGGAGAGGCTCTTCAGGCCGCTATTATGTTTCGGCCAAGCCCAAATACAATCGGTTGATCACGGGTTCTGACGCCGATAAGAGCGCGGACTGGGAGTGCTTTTATTTTTTTGTAAAAATAGACGCTGCGTCTGTAGAAAATCCCAAGTGGCCTATTCGTGCGAGCTGGAATGTTAACATAAGTACGTTTTTGCCGAAGTGTTTCTCTTTTCTTTGTTCGGGCTGACGTCTAATTTTTTTTTCTTTGTTTGCAGACAGACCGCCGCCAAAGATACTCTGCTCCGAGTAGTCTGGTGAAAAATCTCTTGTTGGATTTATCGAGAAGTTGGGCCCCCAGATCTGGCCTGAATTCGTCGAACAAAGGATCCAAAGGTGCATTGGAAGGATCCTAACCGGTTAGTGTTCGCCCTGTTCTCTCGATCTTGGATTGGTCAATTCTTTCTTCTCTTTTTTTTTGTGACGCCTTCGTCTCCTCTGCAGGCTGTTTCGATCTCGAGCTCGAACCTCTCCGTCCTTTCTCGCATCCTCCGATAGTTCCAAAGGCGAAAACTTTTAAACGAACAGCGGAGCCGATGGGTAAGAAGACTAAGGGGACGTGGAGGAGAGTAGATTACAACGAGGCCGCARTGGATGAAGCGGTCAAGGCTTCTAAAGAGAAGCAGGTCGCCCCAGCTGGGCAGACTGCTAAGTAGAAGCAGGCCGTCCCTGCTGGAAAGGTCGCTCCGACCGAGAAGCCCGCCACGACTGAAAAGGCTGGGCAAACTTCGGCCAAGGTCGGCATGAAGAAGAAGAACGTGGCCTCTACGCTTAGAG